GGGGATGACGTAACTTCAGGTAATCTCACGGGACAGGAAATGCAGTTTAACTGTTATTTACATCCACTCCAGTGGTGAAATCGATAGTTATTTATTCTAATTGTAATTTAACTTGTTTGTGAAGAAGGCTAACCATTGCGTCAATCTGTTTTAGAAGACGCATCTCATCTTCCAATTATTTTACTCCTAGCGCAATAATTTCTATTACATTTTTCCTATGACCTAGAAGTTGTGCGCGGTGTTGTACCGCTGTCTGCGCATTGTTATGCACAAGCCGTGCGTTGTCGACGAATAGCACAACGCATGCGCACAATGTCGCCGCGTTTGACGTCCTTAATTAATAGTGTTACCTCGTTAACGAGGACGAGTCACAGCTGACTCAGATCACTAATGGTTGTTTACTTTTTTTCTACCTTGAAAGTGTTTGTCGGCTTCTTTACAATTACTTTGGTCTTTTCTAAACAAAGTTTTGTTTGTGTATTCGCACATCAATGCAGAAACATTTCAAGTTCTCATAACGAACTAAATTATTTTATATTGGAAATTATGACCCTACACTGCCACTTCACCTAAACTACTTATTTCAACTTTTGACTTTTAAAAACACCACGTACCACCACGATAAGTTAACATGAATATTAAAGACATTTTTTCTCCATTCCTCACTATATTTCGACACAGACACACCTACAAGTGAACTTGTAACCTCATTCAGTCGATGTAGACAGAGGGCCACATTTCCATAGTACAGGGCCGCGCCACGGACGCAGTATTTGACAATGTTATTATCCTACGTAACTGGAGCGGGACGCTTCACTCTGGCGTGACAGAGCTTCCGCTCGCGTTACGTTGCGTCACCGACCGTCACACGTCCGTGAAAACACTCGCCGTGGTTTTGGATGAAATGGAATTTGAGAATGAAATTATTTTTTCAAGGATGTAAGACAATCAGGTGGTCTAATTTCTTCTGAGGGTTGGAATCAAAGATGCCTATTTTCGTGTGCTTGTGTTTGTCGAACCTTTAACATGAGAATCACAAAAGAGAATAAACTAATATAATATTTCGAAACAAGTTCATTGAAGTTGAATTACTACCTCATCACCAACACTGCATCCAGTATAAAAAAGTAACTCTGAATTCAAGTTCACTGGCTGGACCACTAACCTTCCTAACTTATCTCCAAGATTAAGCTAAGTGATCAGCCTAATTTAGTGTCTACGTTGAGCATTGCCATCCGCTGATTCGGAGACAAGGATAGACCCACAAGGTCAAGGCCAGGATGAAATATTACCACCTGATTTGATTGTACCTCCGTCCCAAATGGAGAAACTAGGATTTGGTTTAAAAACCAAATTTAAACTATGTATGCGGGAGTTTTTGAAAGTCATTACCATTTGTTTTCTTGGGTTCTTGGTTTTTTTGGTTACCATCTAACGACGACCTTTTAGTTAGACAGCTAACCGCTCGCTGACATTTTTGTTCATAATCGACATCACTTTGGATCGAACTAGATTACTAGATACATTCAGATTTGAAGGCGAACGCTATAACCACTCGACTAAAATACTGGAACACCTTCCCGTACGACTGTGTTTATAAACAAAATCAAGCCATGTGAATGTATCAGATACTACTAATAATTATACCGTGTCTATAACTTTCACAGGGAACCAAAGGTATATTGCATGACTATAAATAAAACAATTAGTTGGAAATATTGAAACAACAAAATAATAGAAATGCATTATTTTTACACTTTCTATTTAGTTATGAAACAGTTAAATTAGTTTTTTTCAAAAAGTCCTCTTCACTAAAATGCAGTACCTAAATAGTTGCGCAAAAAAAATTGCACTACGTAACCATACAAAAATCACCTCGCTGTACCTATGAAAGCCCACGTAACATTTGCTCGATCCATAGTAGGTGTAATGACATCATTGCAGCTCATGCCGCCGCTCATGCCTGTTCGCCGCTCATGCCGTTCGCCGCACGTCGCGACCCATTCTGACCCGCTAATGCATGGTATTATTCGTATTTTAGGCAAAACGTGGAATTAGAAACTAACGGTCAGTAATGGTCGGTCTCCTCCTAACCAGGCATAATAATCGATTGTCACGGAGCATCGAGAGCACCCATCGATTATCGTGACGGTCGATCTATCGATCGTGTGAACTGCGAGCGTACCGTCAGATCACATATTTAAATACAATGGCTTGCAGTGCCAACTATAATGGCAGGGGTTTCGCAGCCCATCATAGCCAAGTGGATGGATGCAAAGGTTACGGAACCACGTTTATTTAGACTTGCATATGACCTGTTGGAATCTCTTAGTTAGGCAGTGTCAGGCGAAGGTCTTGAAGGTGTTGGTGATAGGTTGCTTTGTTTGAAGTCGGATGAAAATAGAGATTTTCAACAATAAATAGACGTATTTTGTAGCGAAAAAATGAGTTCATTCAATTGAGTTTGGACAATAAATGCGATTTACTAGCTATACTGAAATGCTGGACAGAAAATACATTTGTTTGCTTTTATGCCCAAATTTGTTTTCCTCATTACTTCAGTCTAGGTATAGAGGTATTTGCGGCATAATAACTACTATAAGATAAATTGGGATTGGCGGAATTTGAACCCATGACCTCGGGAACCGCTCAGACAAGCTAACTCCCAATCCGCACCTCTCGGACCAAAAATACACTGCAGAATATACTAATAATTACGTCAGTAAAGTTCGACCTAAAATCCTAACATTTGAAAATGTGTTTACTATCTCCCTAAACATTGGATCAGTGGTTCAACGTGGTGTAACCAATCAATTTTTTTAAGGGAATGATTTAAAAACCATTTAAGAACAAAACTTGACAAATCCCTAACCAAGTTGCCTATGTTAGTAGTGCTTAGATGTTTAAGTAAAAATATGTATTAGCAATTACAGAACCATCGGCTGCATTGTCAGAGGTTCCCTGAGTAAAGTCAGAGCTACTGTATTTGTGTCTTTTGAGACCAAGGAAGGATCATACACATCACACTACGATACTATAGTTATATATATATATATATATATATATATACTTCAGTAGCATATGATTTTAGGATAAATGTACATACTGGAACACCTCCACGTAACTGTGTTTCTCAAAAATTCAAGCATATATATATATATATATATAGTGAAGGCGGCCGGGGAACTATGGCCACCTATGCTACCATGGGGTGGATCCCATCACCAACCGCCTTCATTATCATTATTCGAACAAACTACATCAAGCTCCCAGCCTTTACACTACAAGCAACAATTCCTGTCATGATGGTAAAAAATGCTAACACGACAAAGTGTAATTCCCCATGAAGGATTTTCACTGTTTCCTTTCTAATTCCAGCACTCAGCATAATCACAGGACAGACTGTTGTATGCGGCCCTGAACGATCTAATCCACGCGTTTGTTTTGCGCGATTTGAGGTCAATAAGTATAATAAGAAAGATAAAGTGTTACACCACATTGTAATCTTTACAGCTTAGTAATAATGAAACTATGCAAGTTGCAATGTAATGCAATGTCTGTGAAGCTGGTCTAGTGGTAGAGTAGGACTTCGGTCCATGATGTACCAGGTTCAAATCCGGCCAATCACCGAAGAATTTTAAAAGTGATTGTGACGAAACCCTGAAGTAAGGTGAAAACGATCGCGGGCTAGAGCCCAGCGAAATCCCGCGTTCTAACACTAGACCAGCTCGATCCCTATAATGATGCGATTGAGTTATGGAACTGCAAGGACATAAAAAAGGTACTCAATTTAATTTCCACTAACAAACATACAAAATCTCACTATCGTATACGTACACATACCGAGTATGTAACTACTTTTTACATTCCTTAGCTATGCACATCAACAAAACACACCTACAGCAACTTATTTACTTAACCTTATAACATAAAATGTCTAAAATTCTACACTTTTAAAACACCGCAATTCTGGATAGTTTTTCAATCAATTGTAGGAAACTTTAGTATTATACCGACCACTCCTAGATTAGTTGCCCTTAGGTTAATAGGTTTGCTTAGGTTAGGTTAGGTTATCATCTGGTTGTCTTATCCTAACCTAACTTAACCTAGTGGTAACCTAACCCAATTTAGGCGTTGTCGGTATAATACGAAGGTGCCAATTTTAGGATGAAATTTGTTTTACGGATTTACACAATGTGACGTCGCAATAGGCACTTTGACCTTTTTTGTGATATTAGTTTTTAATATTTTCTCCGAGCGAGATCCAAAGATGTTAAATACTCTATAACGTCTCAAATATTATTGCATGTTTCTCTTTTTAACGTCTTTCCCTTTAAATTGTTTATCATAAGTTTTACGATGTTGTTTTCATCAACCTTTAACCCGACGGGATGACCTAACCTCAAAACTATATTATAAAGATGTTCCCAATACATATTATGGATGTTAAAGCTAAATACCAAACAACCATCAGTCACCAAACCATTAAAAACATTAACCGTCTGGTTACTAACGAGAAGGATTTACGGTTAACCAGATACGGTCAATTTGTTGTTAACCACTGAGGAATTACTTTGTCTAGTCTTCGTTAGGTAGTTAATGTTCACTGAGCCATTAAAAATAATTAATTAGTTGTAAACAATATAAAGCTGTAACTTGACAACAACATATTACTAGAAGCCTGCTTTTGACGTCACGTCGTTGTGTTGCAGATATAAATCCACTGCCAGTTAAACCAAAGTAGCTTGGAACAATACTTATCACATTTCTTAACTCTATTTTGTACAAAATGAAAAACTATATATAAAACATAAAAACTGTTTTTCGTACTTATTACTTTGAACACTTCTGAATCAGGAGGGATAGTACTAAAAATTCTGTCATGTGATACCGATAACTTGCAGTGGAAATTGTATCTATTTATGTGGAGAATATTTCAAGCGCCAAAAAGTTAGTTGTGTAGCTATATTTAATGTTTTAATTATTATTTTTATAATTACCTTGCATCCCTCACAAGTGAAAGCCCCAAAATGGAAGCCCGCTGCAGGCTCGTTGCACACCTTACACTGCTGGTTCATCTAAAAAAGAGAAACAAAATGTATTACAAAACTTTAGATGTTCTTTACCTCCAAGAATATTTGCGAATTTAATACACAATACTAGAGGAATTTAATACACATTGGCATAGGATTGAAGGATATAATACGTCTGCAACTATTTTCTATCCCTGAAAACAGCAATAGTATTTTCACACTTGAAAAAAAATAACTTAATGGGTTAATATTTTTTTTCAAAATGCAATTACATACATTACCTCGTACAGCTGAAATCGAATGTTAAGGCACACTCAAAACTAGTCAAATTACTAATTCGTCATGCCCACAGGGCATAGAATATGCCTGACTTAACACTTTAAAATAGTATTTTTTTATTGACCGTTTAGATATCCAGAACTCCGAAAATATAGAAATTCAGAGGTTAGAAGTTTGTTGTACAAGGATTAAACCACAAAGTTCAATATCAATTGCATAAGACTCAAGTTAAGAAGAGATCTTATGCATACACCGTTCTAAGATAGATGTCTATATTCATTATTTCCTGTATATTTTATTACAATTTCAAACGGATAAGGACCACAAACTATTGGTAAACAAGACAAACACTTACAACTCTTCAATATTCCCATTCCTAAAACACAACCACCGAACCAAGAAAACCGAGAAAAGCATCTCCTAACATCACATCCCAACAACTTCTATCAAAACCAACCAACACTCCCCATCCTTCAAACCCCTCCCATCATTGTCAATGGTCATTTTGACGCTCTGACGGCCTCTGTCGCATAACCGTCGCACGTCCTTCCCTCCTTTTTTGACCCTCGGCCCCTTTTGGCGCCCGCTCACCCGTGTAAAATGTTTGTGTATCTCAAGTACCCGGGTTAAACACCAACCATTAATCACCGTGTTATTCTGTTATGCTTCACAAGCGACACCTCGAGTGGCGAACTGTTTCTTTGTGCGACAAAAAAAGCGATTCAGGTGTGAATTGTGAGATGGCGGTTGTGGTTTGGGGAGTTTTTGAGATATGTTGTGTGTACTAGGTTATGGAGTTACAGTATATAATGTGTGTGTGTGTGTGTATGTGGATGGAGGTGTTTAATTTGTATATATGATTAGGGTTAAAATATTCTGAAATCGCTGAACTAATTTAGTTTGATGATTTGGTACCAAATACTAGTTGTGGCACACGGTTCCCAAACAAAGTTCACAACCATGAGAAAGTTTCTTATTTGACGCTTTAAAGTGTATGCAACAGAAGTATAGTTACTGGTTTGCTGTGCTGATAGGTAAATGAGAAAAGGAGAGTATTAACATTATACAAAGCACTAAAGATACAAGCGTTTATTTTTGCTTCAAATTATCTACTCTTAACTAGGTTTGCCATAGTACTTCTTGTTACATACTATATATACGCAAAGTGCAGAAAATATCTGTCTATACACAAACAAAATAGACATATAACTCAAACCATCTACATTTACAAAAATAATGTACTAAATTTTCTGTAAAAAGAAATTTTTATTCCTAATAAAATATTGTGTTTCCTGTAGGAACAAGTACTTATCATGCACACAATTTGGTAAATGCCATAAGGAAATGTCATTTTGATGTAACAATTTAGGATTAACAGTGGGAATATTTCTGTAGTTTCAAAACATTTAATCAACTAACGCGCCACTAAAACAGTGGCAAATGTACAAAAGAATTTGAATTTATTCTATAACGGAAACCAATGTGAACATTAAAATTATAGACCTATAGACACTTATATTGTCGGGTTATGTTTCGTTCTTCCTCAATAGCAAGCACAGCAAAAGACGTACTATTGTACAATATCGCAGACTAATTATAGTAGATATTGTATGCCAATACTAATAGGATTTTTACCACCAAGATTGTTCTAATTTGATAAATACGCATCCCCAATTATTTCAACATATTTTTCTCTGCCTTACCATCCTCACGTATAAAGGTCCGCTCTATTTCTATCAGCACTCATACCATTACAATAACCAATGAGATAATTATCACAGACCGGTTACCCACATTATGCACTACACTATGTGTGGCCGTTTTATTTATAGCTCTAGTTTGTCCGATTAATAACATCTCGTCCGGTCTGGCTCGACGATTCGCTTATTGGGACGATTTGTCCTTCGCCCAGGTGTGGTTCTAAACTCCCTCATCTTTCTTCGGGACAGGCAATCTGTTGGAGCTGGTGAAATTAATAATCACCTCGGAATATAATGCAACTCCGCTGGATTGTGTTTCAAGGGGTTTTGGATTAAGTTTTAAAAGTTTTTAGTTTGTGTCTGTTGTGGTTTTCGATTAATTTTTAATTTTGGTAGTTTGCTGAAATGTAGTGATATTGAATCGTTTATAGTACTATGTCTGTTTCGGTTTGGTGACAGTTAATTATTGGCCCTGCAGATAATTGTTAAAAAACACCACATATTAAATTGTTCTTTAATTCGTTTATCTGTTGGCACTGCTATCTATACCTGTTTAAAAATCGACTAGAAGAGTACACCTCTTATTTCCACATAATATACTAGTTACTAATTTATGGAGATTGTTGACAGTAAGGAATTCTTAAACTTCTAACCATTTTAAGAACTTAAAATATGTTAACTATGTACATAACGTTATACTAAACATTTTAGTCGTTGTTGCCTTGAAATACGTTTTTTACCAGGCATTTTTTAAATATTTAAGAAAATTACCAGATACAAAACATTTTCAACATCTTATACATTTTATAAGTAAAGCTGTCCAAAGAAACTTGTATTATTTGTTAATGAAAATTATACTAAAACAGTTGGCAACGAAAAAAAGTGGAGAAAACCCTCCACTGTTGGTAAAAACCTACTGTCTGTCGAATATTCATCAATCTCAAGATTAAAACATATATTTCTCAACCAAACCAAAACAATTTTTTTATAATTTTAAACACCATATTCAACCTTTGCCTTAAGGTCACTGCCCCTGCTACTGTTTGATAAATATTTGCAGTTTCCAAGTTAAAAGATTGCAGAAGTAAGCTAGATAGATCGTCCTGTATAATCCTGAGCCAGGTGTGAGGTTGAGAAGTCCTGCTGAGATGACTGATTCCACGTCCTGATCCTGCCAGATCCCAGCATCTCAGGACAAGATGAACATATCACACGAACGAGAATTTGTTTCCCCTCACCTTATCCTAATCCTCTGCTCATTTGTTGACTAAGATAACTATTAGTTTTGGATTTTGTACCTCCCATGAAGAAGGTTAACGGTTAACTGGCTGGTGGAGAAATTTGACTAATGTTTAAACGAAAAGATGGTTACCGGTGTTTTGAGAGATCTAGTAAGGATAAAGTTTTAGTTAGCTATTTCATCATCATATTCGAGTATTAAATCGTTTTACCAGTCTACAATCAGTTAAAGAACGAAAAAGGATATTCATTATTGATAAGGAGTGGTCGTACCCCTCGAAATATATAATATTATGATGAAAATTGCTTATAATAATGTCTAGAGATTTAGAGGTACAAATAAGGAACTAAAATGTTAGGTCAAGCAAGAGGTAGTACACATGCTGTCAACATTTCGCTGTGATGTCTGTTTGTAAGATGATTCTATCCCACTGTACTCTAAGCTGTTGCAAAATAATAGTTATTTACTTCAGTGACATATTTAAAGTCAAATTCATTTAAAATTTCCAATAGTCGAATGGCCAACAATGACAGGAGAATCACCTCGAGGTGTAGACATTTCTGACTGTATTATTAAAATGCAATTTATCTATAAAAAACAACAATTTGTAAATTTAACCAATTCCATTGCTAAATTTAATATTCGTGTAGATAGAGGCTACATGTATGTATATAAGTTCTCTTAGGTTCAAATCAAACCCAATACCAACTTTGAACAAAATCCACCACTACAATGTACAATTAAACAACCTTTGATCAATCAAACATATCAGTCATAACTCAGTAACAAAATCCAACTTAATATTCCAATAAGTCAAGTGAACCCGTTCCATGAGAACATCGAGAACGTTGTCAAGGGTTGCAGCATAGACCAGTCAATAATCTCAGACCTGACTATGAATATTTTTCCACCCGGTTGGTGCGATTCTTCCGAACAATCGACGCGACACAATCCACGGCTACCCTCGACTCGCGTCCGTTGGTCTCGTCGCGTTTTTTCTCCCGACGGTGAAAAGGTGAAAAGACTGTCCGGATTTGGTTTCAGACGTGACTGATTCTGATGGCAAATATTGGCGTGATTAATCGTTCCACAGAGACGTGATGTCGTTTGTCACTGGCTCGCTAGCGCTCCTGGCGGCTGACGTGAGAACTGGGGCTGTGAGTGATGCGGGGACGATCTCAAGTACTTATGTAAATTGCGTCACCGTTCTCTTTCAAGTGGGTTTTGAATAAAGTGTGGAATAATGCAAATGATTATTGATGTCTTATGTTGATGTTGTGATTTTTGAACGTGAATGGCAGTTGGGTTTTAGTTCGACTTACTGCAATCATACACTGCGACTTGGAAATTAAAGATGGTTTAAAGAGACGTTAGAAATGATATATATTTAGAAATATCTCAAACATTACTACAGGTTAAAGGTAGTATACATTTTTAATTTATAATTATTTTTAATATGCTCCAGCCCTATTTTAAACAAGTAATAACTGAATTATCCGTTCAAGATGATAATTTTAATCGAAGTGTTTAGAAAATTCAAATATCCAGTAGCAAAACGTGTTAACCATTCCATGATCCAAAAAATGTATAATCCTCATACACTCTTTACTTCCTGAGTTTCTATGAATCTATTATCTAAAATGGGCTGAACACTCCTATACCGAACATTATGTGACGCTATACTAACTCGATTTTGTGTGTAAATTTGCAACGAACATTTCACGCAATCTCACTGGAGCGCCTTTTCCTACGTATTTTCTACGCAAACTATTTTCTCAGCGACCTTTAGCAAATCCCGTCTCCCCTGCCAGGTGGCAGACCCGTGG